CAATATTCTTAAAAAAGTAGAATTTTCTGAACGAGACAGAGGGTACTAAATTGCAAGTCACTGCTGACAGTAAAGTACTGGTACTATTCCGTTTGACAAGTGAATTTTTTGGATGTTTATTTAAAATTTTACTGTAATTAGTCGTAAAAATTTTTAAAATTTTTTTAGATATTTTAAAATATATAATTTAAAATTTTTTTAAGATTACTTTAATTAAAATTTTTAAAAACTTGTCACAGGCAAACTTGTTAAAAAATTTATCTTCTAAACAAGGCCGGGCCTTCGGCCTTGTTTTCAGAGCTCGTTGTACCAAGACCAAACTTTTTATACTCCTTTAATCACTCGAATGTCAACTTCTAAAGCCCGTCTCTCAAGTCTCATCAGCAGCTGGGAAGCAAGAACCAAAGGCCTCTTTCAAGCTTATCCCATTCAAGTAGACTAGTCGCATTGGCGGCTCCTCCTTCCCATACCCCCCACCCCAAAACATCCCCCCTCCTCCGGCCCCTTCCTTCCACTCCACCCGCGCGGCTGATGAGTCGCAGTTCTTCAAAATTTTGCTAGACCCGAGTAATCAGCGAGTCCTGCTGACCATATCGAAATTCCCAATTTTTAATTCTTAACACCATAGCATTAAATTTTTTTCTACAATCAAGCCAGACCACATAATAAATTATACTAGTTTTTAAAAAAAGCGAAAGGAAGAAGAAAATAAAAAACTACAACTACGAGTAGGAGGAGGGGAAAAAATCCGAAAAAAAAATAAGAAAGATAAAAGATATACAGCACATATAAACATTCACACGTGTCTCGTGGGACGAATGCCCCGATGTGGACCCGATTCTTCAATCATTCCCCGCCATCGACTCATCTATGGTCCACCGGAGACGTGGAATCCAAGGGCTCTGATCATATCTTCTCCAATTTCTCAGCTTTGATCAGAGGATTAGCCTTGGCAATGGCCTCCCTCCCCACGGACTTGAAATCGAAAGAGCATCCGTGTTGCTCCGGGTACCTATGGGTCCCACAGAACGTTATCCCGCATCTACACCTAAATCCCGTCAACCCCACCTTCCTCCGGCAGACCGAACACCTATTAGGCTGTGCCACCGGCTGCACCGCCGCCTGGGATACCAAGCCCACGGTTTCAGTATCTGCGGCTGCCGCCACCGCAGAATTATCCGGCTTGAGCGACGCTGATGTTGGTGCAGAAGAAGAAGAAGAAGGTAAAGCATACAACGAATCCATCACCGGCTTTGCTTTTGAGTCGGCCTCTTTATTAAGGCATAAGTCACGGTAGCACTTGGAGCAGAAATTTTGGGTTGCCGGGCTCCCGAAGAAGCCGCAGTTATTCGCACACAATCGATGGCCTTCCGGAGCCCGAAACCCGTGCTCTTCCGCCATTTCTGAGTTTAAAATTGAGATATTCTTTTTTTGCTAATAATTCAGATTGATTTTGTTGCAATACAGAGAGAGAAAAACAATCGATTGATAGGCTATATAAAGGAGGGTGGAAGAATGGGCAAGTGGGTGGGTGGAAGGAAGGATTGAATCGGTTTCTGATGCTGATGAGGAAAGGCGGGGGGGGGGGGGGTTTGTAGATTTTTTAACAGGTCAATAGTGTTAGGGGGAAAGGAAGGGACGGTTGAAATGGAATCTAGAAGAAGAAAAGAAAGCAGAGAATTAAGAAGGAGGAAGGGAAGGAAGAAGGAAAGGGGACAAGATTGGAACGGAATTGAATAATGACAATGATAGCGATGATAATAAAGAAATATCAGGGGGGTAAGGGACAGCCTGGAATGGCCCAAAAAGGAGGCCGAACCTTTTCTGCACCCGCGACCGCTCCAACCTTCAGCTGTTTGATACTGCTAAAAATTAGTTGTCTAGAAAGCAAACGAGATGAGGAAAGGAAAAGATGATGGAGAATTACAGCTTTAGTCCCTGATGGCTGATGTGATGCCTGTGCTATGGAAATCCCGTTTCAGTGTAGGATAATTTATTATTTGCTACCTCTCCGGGTAATCAAAAATCCATTTAGACCCTCCCAAAAAAAAAAAAAAGATGAAAGAGATAACCAAAAAATACGAATGAGCATGTAAGAAAATTCGGCTTCAACTGATTTATATGTTCTTTAGCTAATTAAGCTATGACTAATATGGGTTTGACAAGTTTATTTCCATTTAACTAGGAGTCGGTAAACTTAAGTCACTTCATTTATTTATTTTTCTACTCCATTTTTTTAAAAAAAATGTCTCAATTTCTCAGGCATAATTTGCTAAACTTCTTCGGAATGACTTGGCTATCAAAACATAAAAGCTAATATTGAAACACGTGCAGTAAAAACTGCCAATAAAATGAAGATATTAGGGACTTGATATTGCCAACTTAATACCCCGAGCATATATTTTTTTTTTCTACAATGAAACCATTTGTTAGATGCTAGTAAATGCAAAAGACCAAAAAGTGAAACTCACGGAAAATTTTTTGGATAATTAAAGTCTAAAAATTGAAATTATCAAATTATTAAATACTAAATTTATTATATTTAATTGTATATCATATTAAGTGACGAGTGAATAGTTTATTATTTATTTTTTAAAGTAAAATTTATTTAAAAAATTCAGTGTAATTTAATTAATTAAAATATTTAAATTTTTTATTATCAATTGCATGTGTTAATATTTGAATTCATCAACTTTAAATCATGAATTATCAAATGAGAGGGTTTAGTTTGATCGTGATGGGACACGTGGTGAGGGTTATGTGGTTTGCGAAAGGGCGGCCCGAGTAAGAGAGAAGAATAGGTGGGTGGGCGGATGCGTGTCGAGTGCATATTGGTGGGTTATGGAGAATAGGGAGATGAATGTGAAGGTTGTCTTTTGTTTTCTGGTTACGGTTACGTGTTTTGCTTAGCTGTGTCCATCGTATCTCGGACTTCCTTGAAGGCAGCCGTCAATTTGCCTTTGCTTGGGAAGCTTGCTGACTCAACCAGCACGCGCCATCAAGCAAATGGTCGGATGATGGTTACCGCGGATTCTCTACCGTATTAACAGCTTTCGAAGATCTTTTGTGTTTCTTTTTCTTTTTTTTTTTTTTTCAAATTTATATAGATTCTTTCTTTTTCCTCCTCTTTAAATCAACTTCATTTGTATCGGCCGGTGACATCAGCAAAACTCAAATTTTATGCTTTTTAAGTCCCCATTTGAGATTGTGATTTTTTTAAACGCTAAAAGTACTTTTAAGATATTTTATAATTAATTTTTCATAATTTAAGGAGCTTAATTTTTAATAATTTAAAAGCACTTCTGTTTAAAGTACTCCGTATCATAAGTGTTTCTTGATAAGGTACCGTATTTTCAAACGAGATCTAAATTTCATAAAATGTGTTCACAATTTTGACTTTAGAAGACTTTCATAAAAATTACTTTGATATTGAGATTTAAACAATAAGAATATTATTTGACATTCGTATTTCACCAACAATACGACATGACATAAATCTCACTCATTCATTACAATGTATAAATTTAGGGAAGATGAGATAAATGTGGGAAAAAAGGTCAAGAGGAGAGGCAGCGACACCCTTCTCCTAATTTCATTTCTTTTTTACTTTTTTAAAATTTTGAGTGTGCTATACACAATAATGTACCGTCGTTTTAAGAAAAATTTTAAACTGTGTCTGGTGTTACTCTTGTTGTACGTGCTTCACAAGTAAGTTGATGAGCTCTCATTTTAAGACTCGAACTCAAGTTGAAATATTAATATTAACAAAATGCAGCGTACAGAAAGTCCATCCAAAAAAGAGGAGAAAAAAAAATTAGATTAAATTGCAATGGACAAATTAAGGTTTTGTTTGGGTTGTATTTTTCTGGACTTTTTGTAGAAAAGTTACTGTAACGATATGATATATGTGAGGTAAATACATGATTGAAAAATATGTTCAAGAAAGACGTAGCAACTTTTCTTTGAAAATTTGCAATCCAAACGCACCCTAAGTTTGCATGCACAGATTAACGTAAGAGTTTATTTGAACTGACATACATGATACATGTAACTTTAGAAATATTTTCAAACTTTCTTATGAATTATTCGTGTTAAATTTTTACTCCCTGAGAACGTAAAAATTTACATCCGATAATTATATTCTTTCCTACGGCTTAATTGAACAAGATGTTTACTGTTTTCTCGCATCTTTAAATCAAATTCTTTTGCATCTTTAAAAACTAAATCTTTACTTTGTTTTTTTTTATTGCATACAATGATTTTCAAATTTACAAAATTTTTTAATAAATTATGTGCAGTGCCATTTACGAAACGGGTTAAAAACTAGTACAAAATATTTTCAAACTTTTATACGAAGTATTCGTGTGAAATCAAATTACTTGCTGAGAACATATAAATTTAGGAAAAATCATTCAAAACGTCATTCACATTTTGCAAATTGATTTTTTTTGTCCTTCACTTTTAAAAGTGTAATTTTACATCCATTATAAATTCACATTGGTCGAATTTGGTCCTTACTTAAGTTTTTAATTAATTTTTTACTAGAATCCAACACGTGCCTTCCATGTGAACATTTTTTAAGGGCAAAATTGCCCCTTAAATATGATCACATGGCATGCGATAGATTTCAGTAAAAAACTAAGCGAAAACTTAGGTAGGGACTAAATTTAAATAATATAAATTTGTAAGGGATGTAAAATTATACTTTTAAAATGAATGATGAAAAAAGTCATTTTATAAAATGTGAGAAGGGTTTTGAACGATTTTCCCTTAATCCCCGAGAGATTTATAAATGTGTTGAATGCGTTAAAGAGAAAGAGAAAAAATGCCATGAGGAGTCATGGTCGGTTGAGCGGTTGAGCCATGTGCAGACTCCCACCCGACTTATTGTATTTGGACCTGTTGGGTAAAATATGACCGGTGGGTGACTTGCACCCCTTGCTCACTCGGCAGATATGGATCTCCCGCCATTATTAATACGCATTCCACCTTCTCGTTTACCAGAATTAAACGTCATCTTTTTTTTAAAAAACTAATTTCGCTACTGTTGTTTACTCCGTAAGTCTTTCCTTTTGGCTTATTGAAATCATAGCATCTAATAATCGTCTTGATGAAAAGAAATGTCATGTAACTTTCTGTGGATCTCTGACACAAACAAGCTAAACTGGACAAAGTAACCGATACTTCTCCTGCTATATTCTTCCCAGATACTCCAATCACGCATGACAAAAGCAATTTATTCAGATTCACATTTCCACTACAATTCTATGCCTTTTATCATTGTTTCTAACGTTCTGTGTTCTGGGTTCCCGTCAGCTTGGTGAGCTAGCCTTTTTTAGTTATGAACTTCTCCAGGCGGGGGAAGAATAAAGACATGTGGAGGCTAGTATTTTTGTTGTTTCTTGGCCAAGTGGTTTCTTTTGTAATGGCATTAATGAGCTTCACCTCTTCATTGATAGCCAGTCTTGGTAAATTTTCTTCTCTATTTCATATATTCTTCATTCTTGAATGCCCTTTGCAATTTGAGCAGGCTTTAGATTCTTTTTCTTGATGGCACTGCTAAGTTTCTTGTTTCTTTTAAAAAGTATCCCAGAGTCTACTGAGGATTTCGCTAGTTCTGTTTCAAGATTTTTCTGATTTTCACGGGATTGGCCCTTCTCAGTGTGGACAAATATCTGAATGTCATAACTTTCCGCTAATTTAATTTATCTTTTGGGGAAATCGTGCAGGTGCAGATACACCTCTTACTCTATCATTCTTCTCTTACTCGGCCTTGACTTTGGTGTATGGAGGCATCTTGATTTACAGACGACAGAAACTGCTGGTAGAATTGGCTTGTTAAGTACTGTTGACTGTTGACTTTACACAGTATCGGTAGCTATATTTTCTTGACAATTGCTACATGTTATGCTTCTATTTCCCTATAGTTTGAAAGTAAAGGTTCTAGCTAAATCATGCTTCCTGGGTATTACCTGATTGTGATTGACACTAATTTGCTTGCTTTCATATGGTGATCGGCACATACCATGTTGAGTTTGCAGGTCCCTTGGTATTGGTATCTTCTGTTAGGTTTTGTTGACGTCCAAGGGAATTATCTTGGTAAGCAACAACTAATCCACCTTACCTTCTCCGCTACTCTCTGAGGCCTACGGCAAGAGTTGCAAATGACATTCTTAGCCTTGCTCATGTTCCGCACAACAATATGAACACAAATAAAAGTTCCTTGTTTGATACTGATGATTCCTACGTAAGATAAAAGGAATCTCAAATGATATTTCTTAGCTTATGGAATGAAAAAGTAAAATTAAAATCTGTGAGAACATAGCTGGAATTAGGACGGATGCCACAATAACACTCCATGGAGAGCTTAGTAATCCCATTCGTTCTTATACACGATAGTCAGTACTCGTTTTGGCTGCCAGTTTCTGCTGTGTTGCATTTGTGTTATGAGTGATAAGCTTCTAATGTCTCTCTTGCAGTTAATAAAGCATACCAGTATTCATCAATTACCAGCGTGACAATCCTGGATTGTTGGACAATAGCATGGGTAATCATTCTGACATGGACATTCCTCGATACCCGGTATAGCCCCTGGCAGTTCTTTGGTGCAGCTGTCTGTGTGTCTGGTCTCGTTGTGGTTCTTCTTTCTGATGCTGCGGTGGGTGGTGGAGGTGATATATCTGTTCTTCTTTAAGAATTTTTCCTTTTCTTTTGAGGTTCATAAATTGACTGCATTGTTTGATCACTTAGCTGACTATACTGCATGATTACTTCTGTAAACATCAAGGTCTTCCTTTTTTTATGATGTCCTTGCAAGGCAATCATTATAATTAATGGAACTGAAGTGGAGTATTGTTTAAAGAAAGTGTAAAAGAAAGAAAAGGAGACGTCTCAAGAATATTATAACTGCTCTAACTTGTATAGCCACAATTCATTGTTAGTATTGCTACGACTACCATTGTGTTTTCAGGTGGTTCAAGGCCTATTCTTGGTGATATACTTGTAATTGCGGGCACAGTTTTCTTTGCATTGAGCAATGTTGGCGAGGTTAGTAAATACTGGACTTTCTGCATGATTGTGTGCATCATGCAAATATTACGAGGATAACAGCTATCAACTTAAGATTAATAGTTGTTTTCACTAGATTTTTGCTTCTTGCTTCTTGCTTACTTTCTGAAGTCTAAACATGCAAAATGTGAAGCTGCAGAGTTATATCTAATCTTACATCTTACATGTACAGGAATTTTGTGTGAAGAAAAAAGATCGTGTTGAAGTGGTTGCCCTACTTAGTCTTTTTGCAATGCTTGTGAGTATTGGGGAGATGTATCCTTCTCTTCTGATGATGCATTGTTCTAGCTTATGCAGTTCCATATTATAAATTCTTAGCACTCTTGCTATCATCTTGATGGAAAGAGTTTCTCTTCGTATGTGTTTCCATAATCCTCCTTCAGAGCTGTCATGGAGCGTAAGAGTCTGGAATCTGTAAAGTGGTCTGCAGAAATTGTAAGTGAATTTAGATGATTTCTTTGTATTCAAGCATTATATACCTATACATCTCCTTTCGTTCATTTAATTGGTTGACTAAAGAGCTATATGAACCAGTTTGTTTTGTTGACTGACTTCAAGACAAGGACACCAGATGTGTCACTAACCTCTCTGTTCCCAGCAAACTTGAAGTTTGCGTTATGGTTAAGGATTCTATCTGGGATCCTATGTCAAATTTAGCCTATCATGTGCTTAATCTTCTCGACTGACATTTTACTGGCATCAATTAATTGGCAAAACCCCCTTAGAAATTATGTGACAAAATATTTCTTGCCTTAGCTAATCCACAGTTTGTCTTTTTATGATGTGCGGATTTTAACTGATGCATTATGATGAGAGTTGCTATTTAGAACACGTTGGCTGTGAATTCAGAGAAATCACAAGTGCAACTTTATAAACAATTGATATAGTGATAAAATTTTTTCAGTTGTCATGGAAATTAACATCTGATTCCAATACCTAATTGGTTTATCTGCATATATGTGGACAGAAATGATATTCAAGGACGTGAATGTGCTACTGATGTGACTCGTGTCCAGTGAATGCAATGATATGCTATCCCAGCTATTTTTAATTAAATTTTTGAAGGCCCAACTAACTGCCAAATTTATATGTGAAGTTTAACGCTGTTATACTTCCCACTTGGAATTGAAAAATAGGGAGAGAAACGAAGCATATGCTTGTTCACTAAGAGCTCCAATTTCAAGCAGGAAAACTTATATGCATCGTTATGGTTGGTGAAAAATATTCCTTTCTCCCTAATATAGAGTTAAGGCTGTATTGATTAGGCTATGTTCACTAACATTTTACGAAGTAAACATGCTTTAGTGTGCAAAAATACACCGATCTGAAAATGATTGCTACGTTCGCATTGTAGAGGGGTGAGTAACTAGGTTTGCAGCTGCATTATTGGAGGATGAACAAGTCAAAGTCATGTGAAGGCAACCTTGGATTATTGCATATTCACCAGGAAACTAGTATAAGTTAGTTATATGAGGGTTCTTTTGGTACAATTCATGCCCCTTTTGGTATATTCACATGCTTTGGCATGTGAAGATATGTAGTCAAAGAGGAATAGGTGATTGATTGGATTATGAATGCTTGTTGCTCAAATTAGAAAATGTTGGGGGTTCGTGCCTTATTTTGTTAGGACCAGTTGATTTGTTATTTACTATTTTCAAGCCAATATTGTATCTGAGGTTCTTTTGACTGATCTTCAGATATTGGCCTTCTTTGGTTACGCAGTCGCAAGCTTTGCATTCTACTCAGTCGTTCCTTTCGTCATGAAGGTCAGCTTGATGTTGGAGTATAAGTAAGGATCTGTGTTTCTCTTATATTGAATTCCATCTGCTGCTTGACATCATCTTCTGCTTTCTCTGTTGTTTTTGGATGCGCAGATGAGTGGAGCCACTCTCTTCAATCTCTCTATTCTCACGTCTGACATGTGGGCAGTTGTCATTCGGATATTTTTCTACAAGCAGCAGGTAAGCTTTCTTTTTCCATAAACTCCCCCTCAACGGATGCCCTTTCTTTTCTGCTCCTTGGTTTGGCTTGCTGATTGATTTTCTCGTGAGACTATGACATGACTTCTGATAGTGATGATTGGGATATCCTTTCTTTTCTGCTCCTTGGTTTGGCTTGCTGATTGATTTTCTCGTGAGACTATGACATGACTTCTGATAGTGATGATTGGGATATCCTATCCCCACTCTGCTCGATAGACAGCAGAGAGGCTTGCAACTCAAATCATTCATTCATGATTCTTTTGCTGTTGCAGGTTGACTGGCTTTACTATTTAGCTTTTGCACTTGTGTTTGTCGGCCTGATTATATACTCTAAAAGGTATTTCCAATCCTAGACTGAACTCTTAGTCTAAAATGGACATAGGCAAGCGTTCCTTCCTGATCAAAGATTTCATAACAAGTTAATATATATTCTTGCATGATCAATATTCTGTACGCCAAATATCTTGACTTTCAGTATCACTCTATGCGCCATGTTTGGTGAATGTATACGAGTGTATGATTGAAAAAGGAATGAATTTTATTCTCGTGTTGGTTGTGTATATGAATTTGGTGTACATACAAGTTAATGAATTCGTTCAGTGAAGGAAAAACGTTTAACGGCAGTAACTGCACATTGATCTTTCAGCAGTTGAATGAAGATTGTAAGACAAACTCGATTTGTAGGATTGTATGTAACCCCTCGATTTGTAGGCTTCAAATGACATTTCTTTGAATATATTTGCATCTTCGTGTAACTTTCAATGCCTTGGGGGATTCAACAGTGAGAAGAATCCAGCTGCTGCTGCTGCTGCTGCTGAGGATGGAGACCCCAACTCACAATGCCGGTTGCTTGATGAAGAAACCACAGATTTCAGGAACCAGGCCGTGTCTTCATGAATTTGTATCAGAAGAAGAGGCAAGAAGGGTATTCTCACTGCTGATAGACTGGGGTTGTGTGCATGTTCTGTGATCGACTGGGGTTTTACATTTACCATTTTGATCGAAGCATTATTTAGATTAATTTGCCTTTTGTGTTAATTGCAGGATGAAGTTCAAAGCTGCTGCTAGGCACTACAATATGAATGTGCCTGAAGATATGAAAGCTCGAATTGTTGTTTTGATTGATGTAGTAGTGCGAAACTGCAAATTATATTTACTCTCCGCACATATTCTTTTTGGTTCTGATCTCATATTTAAGGGACTGAAATATGAAAACAAATAGTGTATATCACTCAAATATAGCAATTTGATGTCGAAATCAATTCCCATTCTTTCTTGACAAATCCAACAACACGCGGTTAGTTTGCCTTTCATTTTGGGATAATTTCAGAAATCCCTCTTAAGGTTTCTAACATCTTTTAAAACGGTCAGGGATTTTTTTTTTTTTACCTCAAGGATATAAACCCACACACACACACTTACACTCAGTCGACGCAGAGAGCATCGAGAAACCGGTCCAAGAGCAATCTAAGGAGGACCCACAGACAAACCCTATCCAGCCAATTGATAAACGGTCAGGGATTTGGACCCCAACATTTTTACATTAACTGTCCCGTCGCTGTCAGTAGTCATTTTATCACTTTTGACGTACAATTAATAAACAAACAAAACACCCAAAAAAAGTAAAAATAAAAGTAAAAGCACAAACAGGGAACAAAAACGATTTTTTTTTTTTTTTTTAAAAAGGCCTAAGGGCTTACAAATATAGACGCTAAAATCCGAACAGGTCACAGCGCTGATTCAATGGAGCAGCAGACGCCAACACCACCGCCATCCACTCCTCAACCACCGGAACCTCCGCAGCAACCACCACCATCACCCTCTCCTCCTACGCCAACAACCACAGCTTCCACCGCCTCATCGTCCGCCGCTCTTCCACCACCCATCACCGCCACCACCTCCACCTCCACCTCTTCACTCCCTTCCACAACCGCATCACCTCCTCAACTTTCTTTGCCTTCTCCTTCCCAAAACCCTCAACCCCCAACATCCACCCCAACCCCCAACACCCAAACAAGACCAGCAGCAGCAGCAGCCTTCAATAGAGCCTGGCAACAACCTCCACAACCTTCCCCTATATCACACTTCGCACTCCCTCCTCCTCCTCTTCCTCTTCCCCCTCATCATCATTCTTCTTCTTCTTCTGCTTCTTCTACTGCTTCTGCATCCAATTCTTCTTCTTCTTCTTCTTCTTTACTTGTGCCGCCGCCACCGAGGGGCGGGATGGCCATTGGGGTTCCCGCCCATCACCCGGGCACTCCTCCGCCCCCGCCCACTTCCTTTTCATCACTCACTCCGCCTTCTTTTGTGCAACCCTTTGGTGGGTTGGGCCGCAATGTCACTGATTCTGGGCCTACTTCAAGCTCTTCTCAGGTACCGTCTATAATTTATTGGACTTCAAAATTTGTCTGTAAATATGTGAAAATGTCATGTATTTGCCAGATATATTTATTGTAGTGCAATGTATAGGTGAGGCCAACTGTGGGAGGAATGCAGGGAATAGGAATGATGGGAACGTTGGGTTCAAGTTCCGCAATGCGGCCACCAGGGGTTCCGGTTAGGCCTGTGCAGTCATCCCCTAGACCGCAGTCAAGTCCCAGTATCCAGTCCCCTGCTACACAGGTCTGTGCATGTATTTCAAGAGCTAAGTTTATCCTCTTTCATCACGTGGGATGGTTTGATACTTGTGATTTGCTCAGTGGTTTCCTGGTGATGTTGTGAATTAATTTGTCTGGGAAGTAGATATTATGCTGCCCTTTGAATTTCAATATTTGAGTGTGATGCTTTTGTGAACATCCTAAGTCCAGACTAAGAAATAGTGGACGTTTTATACTGCATTGTCACCTTGGAATTTAAAGTACCGAGTCTTAATGATATTGTGGAGGAAGAAACATTGTTATATTTTTGGTTAATGCGTTGATGCAAAAGGAGATCTTTGATGAGATTAATTGGTTGAACACCGGTATCTTTCTTGTAATAATTCCTTTGGAGTGCTACTTACTCTATTAATTAGTAAAATGCAAATTATCAGCCAAAATGAAAGAATGAAAGGAGGAGAGTGCGGCCATTCCTTCTTATGGCCCAAAAGAGATCTTCTGCATCATTTCAGTTTTTTACTACTGACAAACAGGATGAGATCCAATCTCTGACCACGTTGTGCAAGACAAAAATAATAAATACTAAATTATGATAAAAAAAATACATCTGTAATCTCTTTGCATATCAAGAAGCTAATTTATTGCTCAGAGCTAATGAAATGCACTGTTGGTTATCTAAATTAAAGGAACATGATAGGTGCTTAAGCTGAAACTGCTTGACATCTCAGACAGAAGTCTCTCCTGTTATTTTCCTGAAAAGAAAATTCATTCCAACTAATATTGGTCCTTTCCCTAGTCATGTGTTCTTTCTATTGTTAGACAGTTGCTTGATGGATGTGTTAGTGTGCATTTTAAATTGGTTACATGCTATCTGCATCCATGACTTGGGATTTTGAAAAGTAGGGCATCTGTTGTGGCTATGTTGTTGCTTATTCTTGTCTCCTCCACCGGCAGAATTTTCAGGGTCATGGCATGTTAAGAGTTTCATCAGTAGGATCTCCAGGATCACCGTCACCTGGTAGTTCGCAGAGTCCACAGCCTCAGAATCAACCCTGGTTGAATTCTGGATCACAGGTTAAGCCTCCTTTGCCACCATCAAGGCCACAGGTTAGCCCGCAATCCATGCAGCAGCGATCTCATATTACTCAACAGCATCACCATGCCATGACAACAACTTCCCAGCAACAGCAAGCATCTTCCTCACAACAATCTCAACAACCTTCTACCTCGGGGGCTGGGACTCAAGAGCATTATGGACAGCAACTTCCACAATCCAGGATTCAGCAATCTTTACCTAATCAACAGCAGATTGCAAGGAATCCGAGTTTGGGAACTCAAAGACCTTCTCATTCAACAATACCTTCCAGTCCGGTACAGCCTGGGCTCCCTAACCGGGCACCCAGTGCAGAACCTGAGGAATCTTGTAACAGGATATTAAGCAAACGAAGCATTCAAGAACTAGTGTCCCACGTGAGCATTAACACTTATTCTCTCTTTAACATTTTTATATTCTTTTTTACATCTTCTTTGACCTACTCAATCAATCTGTGCTAGCTTGAGTTAGACTTTTTCTGGCTGTTTCAAGGATCAGTATGGTTTTCATGCAATTGTTTTGGAAATATGATCAAGTTCTTGCCTCTTTTGTTCAATGGTTTGCCTTTTTTCAGCCCACTCTTCTCAAAGTAGCAAATGGTGAATTTTGCTACAATTTTGGGTTTGTCAGCTTCTTGTTGGCTTAAGTTGTTAGGAGTTTCTGAATGTATTCGTGGTGCCTGCTGCCCAGTCCTCATGGGAACAATGAGAAATTTAAAAATCTGGATTTGTCATACCTAGTCAAACTGTGTATCTGTTGCCATGTATCGATCCTTTAGTTTAATATTTTAACAATTCAAATCCATTTTTTTATTCTGAAGTGGGACAATTAGGATGTCCTAGAATGGCCAGTATCAGAATTCAGAAGATGTGATGTCCCTGTCATGCTCGATCACATGCTGAATGTTGTCCTCTATAACATTTGATTCTATGCAACCTACATTATGGTTGCAGCCAGCCAAAGTGTGATTACTGTGATTTGAGTGGTGAAACTTGCAATTAATCCATCCTTAGATTGCATGGGTGAGGAGAAGTTGGAGCAAATTTTGCTTGCCTTCTTTATTTTGCATCTGATATTCTTCTCAGTTCCTTTTTCTCTTTTTATGTTATTTACTTGAAAAGGTCTATATATGAATTCGTAGATTGTAAATTGTGCAGTCTGACTTTGGCATTGCCTTGTTCATACACTGGATATGAGGGCACTGTTGAGTTGTTTCTGCATACATCAGCATTTTTGCTTCTTTATTGATTGTATGCATGTGCTAGTGGCTTTCCTCTGTGATGGGCACTGTGATTCACTCCACTCTTGGGTAGGTTGATGCATCAGAAAAATTAGATCCAGAAGTTGAAGACATTCTTGTGGATATTGCGGAGGATTTTGTGGACTCTGTAAGTTGACACTGTTTGCTTTTTCTCTGGCATGCTTGACCTCTTGACTTAATTTAAGTTTTAGTGTATTCTGGCAGTAAACAACATTTTGGAATGTTTACAATCCCAAATTGGCGACTTTCTTTGCATGAAATATATTAACTGGAGGCATTGGATTTTTGAAATACGTTCCACTTGTATGGTAAATAAAGAGAATATTATATCATGATTGCTCAAACTGTCAATCCTTTGACTGTTTGGAGAAATAGGGTGAACTAAGCTTTCTTCCATATTCAGAAGCAATATATTGTCTCTGTCTATTTTTTAGATCACATAGCAAACCTATTCTTTTCCCTCGTATATAACTTGTCAGGTTAGATATTTTGGAACTGTGCTCTTTTGAGCAGTAGATGGGTGGTTACATTCCCTAATTACGTTCTTTTCAATGGGAAGTTGCCAGGTATCTGTAGAAAATGCTACTTAAACTAGGTGAATTTCAAAGAAGCCCTTCTTTGAAATTGGAAAATTAGTGGCTGGCTAAATATTATTCTCAACATGTCTGATAGAATCTTACCTGTATTAAGTGATCTTCTTGTTGCTTACTATTATGCTTACCAGTGACTTATGATTGATTTCTTTTATTTTCTTTAATATCCGGTTTTTACCTTTACCAGATTACGACATTTGGCTGTTCATTGGCTAAACATCGCAAATCTGCCACATTGGAAGCAAAGGATATTCTTCTACATCTCGGTTAGTTTTGGAATTCCCTTCATGGCGGTTGACCAAAATGCAGTTTTTAACACTCTGTCAATCCTTTCATTCAGAAAGAAACTGGAACACGACACTTCCAGGATTCAGTGGAGATGAGATTAAGACGTATAAAAAGCCGGTAAAACATTTTGACTGCTCTTTTTGTGCTGGCAGCCTATAACTTATTTTGTCTCTAGAGTTTGACATGAAATATATACACTTTGGTCAAATTTTGGTTTATGATATAGCTTTGAGAGCTTTTCTGATGCTGATCATCTTATGGTGTTGCAGTTTACAAGTGATATTCATAGAGAGCGACTTGCAGTGGTTTGTACTGCTTCATTTTCTATTGTGATTGTAGACACTTTTCCGTGTTTATACATGAATTCACACATAGAGACAGCATTACCTCGTGTTTTTGACAATTCCATCTCCTTTGACAGATTAAGAAATCAGTTTTGGCTGGTGAGACATTGAATTCTAGGAGCTCTGCTGGACAAGCGGGTGGACATCCTAAGGGTCATTTAGCTAAAGGCCCTACAAGTATTGTGGGTTCCCCCCCTGACAAAAGGACGTGAACCTGGATGAGGAACCTTTGAACTGCTGGTTCCATGGGATGGAGTAAGGGTTGTCGCTTTTCTCAAGTTTCCTGAGTGAGGCAGACTTTTTGCACCACCATGAACCTGAGCTTCTAACTAAAGAGGAATCAAGTTTATTTATGCTAATTGGTGTGATTATTTGGGGATTAGATTTTCATTTCTTCTTTATCAATATTAGCATCCCCTCATTTCCACCCGTTGTATCTATGTATGGTGCTATTAGATATCCAGAGTTAGTGGAACAGAGCTTGATGAGTTTTATTCTAAGTTTAACCATGTCAAACCACTGTATCATGTAGCAGAAAAAAAGACAATTGTGAGAACATTTTGCATTTGAAGTGCATGTGCACAATGTTCTGATAGATGCATATCATTTTTGAGCTTCGTTATCAAATCTACATGGGCATTGTTCACTTAATTCATTACCAAGAAGATGAATCGTTACTTTAAGCTTGCATTTCTGCTACCTCAAGCGACAGAACTCTAATGCTTACATCCAACTTCTTACTGAGCTTCTGTACTTGTTTGCTTAACCTCTTGCAATTTATTATTCCTTTTTTAAAAAAGTCTTTTTAAAAAGTTGAGAGTTTGGATAACTAAATTTTGTTTTTCTAAATGACCACTAGGTGTTGCTTCTAAAATTCGTTTGTTACAGCTGAAAAGAAGCTGTGAAAGCAAATGCAAAAATCAAATAAGAGCACCTTAGTGCAACTTAAAGGTGCTAAATGCAATGATTAAATCAACTGGGATTATGCCCTGAAGGGGAAGGATTGGCTATCCTGTGTTTCGTTGCGCATTTGTCTTTTGCACAAGCAATTTATATTCTGTCGGTTCCACCCTGGTTCATTTTGATTTATGTGCAGAGGTTTGTTCTAGCAGTTGAAGCCCAAGGCAACTTTGTGCACCCGGTGTTTTAGTTGATTTTGTCTTCAAAAAATCACAATGAAGGAGTGGGATTCTGGGCTAATTGCTTAGATTATAGGTAAAAAAAAAAAACATCCGCCAAATGCACCTCTGACACGGGATCGTTCTTGTTCTATACGTGCCGTGCTGACTCAGCGCGGCCCAAAATAAATTTCGCAGAAGTCAGAAAAATGTCAGTCTGTGCAGGCTTGTGTCAGTCCGGGCCGCGCTGACTGTGCACGGCCCGGAATGACTAAAGACTGACAGATACTGCTTTTGTCAGTCTGGGCCGTGCACATTCAGCACGGCTCCTTTGAAAAAAATTTAAACCATTGGTCTTGTAGCAGGTGAGAATGCCGTAGGAGTGATCCTTTGTGGAATCTTGTAAGTTTCCTCGCTCCTCGTTCTTTCTTGGGAAGGGGGATGTTTTTGTTGGTTAAGCAAAATATTTATAGGGCTAATGCTTAATGACACCTCAAGTGCCAAAAGAAAAATCAAGTCTTGGGATTCTATTATCTTTATAAATTATGCATTTATAATAATATACACTTATACATTTAAATATTGTATTTATAATACATTTATAAATATTTATAAATAAATGTATTTATATATTTATATGAAATATATAAATGTATTATATTATATATAATACATAATATAAATATATTTTTAAATGTATAAGTGTATATTATTATAAATGCATAATTTATAAATGAATATTATATAAATGTATAAATTAATATATATTAATATTATGTGTAAATGTATTAATATAATTAATATAAATGCAAAAATGTATTAATATTATGTATAAATGTAAAATTAATATTATGTATATTAATATAATTTATATAATATATAATATTTATATAAATATATTATAAATATATAAAAATATTTTTTAAATAAAATAAAATATTTATAATATGTATAAATAAATAAATAAATATTTAATATATATAATATACATTAATATTAATTATAAATATTGTAATATTATAAATATGGTGTTTATATAATATTTCAATTTGTAATATTTATTGTACATTTCATTATATAAATATTTGTATAATACATAATATATAATTTTCAATAATACATAAAATTGTGTTGAAATATCAACAATGCATATTCGGTCAACATTCAAATTCAAAAAATAATTTCAAAGTTGACAAAATATTGATAGACCGTACAATTGTCTGTAGCTAGCACCACGATCCCATTTGTGTCATGAGCAGTCGAAGACTAGGAATTCTAAACGGCTTCACAATTAACTCCAATCAGGGCCCCATTAGTTTATCATTTCTTTACTTTGCATTATTGGCATATGTAGTCCTCTGCTGCGAGCCAAATTGGAAATGGCAAGGAGAAATCCCGTGCTTAATTTTTTTCAAAGGAGCCGTGCTGAATGTGTACGGCCCGGACTGACAAAAGCAGTATCTGTCAGTCTTTCGTCATTCCGGGCCGTGCACAGTTAACACGGTCTGGACTGACACAAACCTGCACAGGCTGACATTTTTCTGACTTCTGCGAAATTTATTTTGGGGCCGTGCTGAATCAGTACGGCACGTATAGAACAAGAACGATCCGTGTCAGAGGTGCATTTGACGGATGTTTTTTTTTTTTACCTATAATCTAAGCAATTAGCCGGGATTCTGGCACAAACTTTGCTCTTTTAAGTTCCTCGAGGAATTGTATAGTTTTAAGCACACTGTACTTTGTCTTACAGGTTCTTTATTCTTCAATGACTGCAGGACCATTTTGAAGAGCGTGATCTTGATGAAGGGGCCTGATACTAACAGGAATTTGTGGACAAGATGAGGGCGGAAAAAGCAAAAGGGATTTTTCATAGCTTGTTTATCATTAAACTTGAAGATCCTGCTAGGGATTTTCGGAAAATTGTAATTTGACTCCGGTCTGCCATGCATTTTAGCGGGCATTTTAGGTTTAATGTTTGCCTAGATAGAATTAGCTCCTCTCTCAGACCAACGTATTTGAGTAGTTCTGGATGCTATTTATTCTAACAAGTGAAGGCGAAACATTTAAATTTTTTCAATCTTAACGTGGCTCTCCTCCAGAAAGATTGGCATATGTGCTTCTAGAAGGAATGATGGGCTGAAGATGCTTGTATTTTTTCTTGCAAGGATTATGAACCTGTTCCCAGGGGCCGGGATTTAAGGCGGGGTACTGGGGCACGCCCCCTGTCTCCTTAAATTCCTATAATATTAATACAATTTTAATATAATTTTAAGTATACCCTGGAGTTTTTTTTAGAAAGGATGTGAAAGAATTACGCGATTTTTTAAGTTAATTCATAAACTAAAATTCTAAAAAGATACGTGGGCACAAAATTCCATTTGAAATAAGCTAAAAAAAGCCTTTTCATTTTAACTAGTAAGTACGCAATCATATCATTCACTTTTTTTTCGATCCCACTCCCATTTCGCCTTCCCCTCCTCGGTTCCCCCCATTTTTCCCACACAAATCGAGAGACACTACTCCACAAACTAAGCAGCTAGCTAACTCTTTCTCTTGATCAATTCATCCAATCATATCATTCACTTTCTTTGGGCCCTACTCACCAATTTCCCTTCCCTCCTCCAGTCCCCCATTTTCCCCCCACAATCGAGAGCCACTACATTTCACAACCAAATTAGTTATCAAAATATAAAAACTCGCAGTAAGCAATTATAAATAGTTTAGTTTGTTTTTGAAATAAAATTATTATTACATTAATAATTTTGAATTTGTCTTTTTATGTTTTTCATGGAATATATGCATCATTTGTACTTGTTGGTGAATTTTTTTTTTTTTGCTTAAAAAACTAGAAAAATAGTAGGTAAAAAATTTTAGTGTTGCTTTTGCCCTCATTAAGAATTTTTTTTGGCTCCGCCCCTGCCTATTCCTCTTGTTTAATTGGCTTTTTTTTTTTTTTTTTACATGTTTGTTTATCAACAGGAAAGGAACAGGTGAAACAGCGTAGATACAGACTACAGCCTGCGATTATATCGCGCAAGTGCAGGAAAAATTAATTCGCATTATATAAACTAATTTTGCTCAGTTAATTCAAGAAACATGACGTGAAAGTAGTCTATGTGAATGCCCCGAAATTTGAGGTTTTTCATGCATTTGCTATCGGGGAAATTTCGAGACGGCTGGGGCACTTGAGTAATTCCGTCATATACGTCCTTTCATGTCGGTGAGAAAGAAGTTTTGCATCCTACACCTCTCATTTATCCCAAAAATATTTTTTTTAAAAAAAAATGGGTGTGAAGATGTTTTTCTTTTTTATAACGATGATAAGATTTTTATAACCTAAATTATTCTATCGTATTTTATAAGAAGGAAACTGCAAAGGGATTATATAAGAGATTAGAACCTAATCTATCATATTCTATTTTACAAGAAAAGAGAGTCTAAAAAAGTTATATAAGAGACTAACAAGTTTATAAATCTGATTAGATCGAAGAGATACTTTCTAACAGGCCCAGGTGAAATTCAATCCCTCAACATACAATTCAAGTAGAAATTTAGTCGGTGGATGGACGGAAAACGTGTTTAAATAGCGTCCATGGTCCTAACGTGGAGCCGAGTCAGCCCACGAGGAATACTCGGCACTGCATTTCGTGTTTAATTAATTAGCAATTATTGTGTGGGGCAGGGGGAGGCGTGTCAATTGTACTGTCTAATTATCAAATACAATGGGATCACGTAGTTTAGATAAGATGACTGGATTTATTATTAATGGTGAAAAACAACTGAAGACTAAGATGAGCCCTTGGGGGAGCATTTTTGGTCATTAGGATTATGAATTATGAATTCCAGCCTCCAGACATCTTTTATTCGGCTAAACTAAACAAACAACTTGGACGAATTAAGAAAACCACATGCTAATTAAGTAGTAACTATGCCCCTCCTCCTCCAATTGCGTATGCTTACACAAACCTCCTAACTTTTTGGGTAGGGGTGTCAATTAGACATTATGAGCTAGAATTTGGCAAGCCCGAGCTTGACTCAAAAAATAGGCTTTCGGGTTTGAACCTAGATTAGAAGTTTCAGTCTCGATTCGTTATTTAATATGAGTTTTGGGCTCATACAGTGTTCGACTCAAGTTCATAATTAATTATATAATTATACATAATATATTAATATTTATAAATTATTATAGAATTGTATATAAATTATTAATATTATAATCTGTATAACTACATATATTATATATATAATTTAGTATGCAATTTTATATATATAGAGACACAGAAATGAACTGGCCAGGCCTTAATTAGGTTTGAGTCTAATGAGTCATAAACTTGATTCACATTTTATTCAGATCTATTATTTAAGGCTAAACTCTGCCCGATCCTCTTAAACACATGGCTTATTGGTCTTTTTTACGGGTCGCACTTGAATTAACTCGACCTTATTGACAATTCCATTTTTTGGTGTAGTTAAAAAAAGGGAAAAAAATTAGGCGAAAAGTTTCTTTTCAGGTATCCAAGCAATATTAGTGGCAACTAAGGATAACATGATACACACACCCCGTCCCAATTAATTCACCAATATACGATAGTGTAGTTGTTAAGGACGGCTTACTTTTTTGTGTTGTCAATGTGAGAATTATGTTGGTGAACGATTAAAAATCTATGTAAGCATTCTATAATTTCAGAGTCATGTCCAGATCTCGAAACCCACTCAAACTTTTTAAAAAAAAAAAACAAAAAACTATCCCAATTAATCCGCATATTAATCGATATGCTTAACAAGGAAGTAAGCATATTCTACTAACAAATCGACTATCACTAAGTGAGTTGAATGTTCGCAATTCGAGGGCTCTGCCAAATGTCAATCCACGTTACGCTTGCCTAGAAATGTGACAGTCTGTAGACTATGTGGTTAATCTTAGTTCGTCTTTATCCTCCTTTGCTAAACAAATAAAGTGGACCAGGGTATGGTCCAATCTTTAATTTTAGTTTAATCACGATTGATAAATTAGGTCCAACTAAGTATATTTATTTAATTTTGTTTTTGGTTTATCTGTCGCTGCCATTCCAAACACAAGCATTAGGAAAACACAAAACAAGGAGGCGTGGTGCGCGATGGCGTTTTAAACAAAAAATTAGGAAACCCAAAAACAGTTTAGGAAAGAGGGCATTTCCATACCTTCTCGGCATCTTCCTCACCCAATTCCTACACAACTCTTCCTCCATCTTTCTTTCACCACTAGTTGTCTAGTCTCAAACAAAGAGTTGTTTGTACTAGACAACTAGTACTTGGTTTTGTTTTCTCTTTGTTTGTTAATTACTATGAATTTGGTCCCCAGCGGCTGCGTCTTTGTTTTCCTATAAGTCTCCAATTAAGTGTGTGCCTAAGGCCCGCACTCCAAGCCCCCTCCCTGCTCAATTCTGCTTTCACACTCTCATCTACCAGTTTTGTATTACTACTACCGGAAAGATTGCAATCAACTGTACTGTGAAAGGGATGTCCAATTCACGTGTGGTTAATGGTGGGTGCGCTAATGGGTTGGTGATGGCTGATGCGTTGGCCGAAGATTTTGCCAATTCTGGTGCCATGAAGCGTCACAAGCTCATCATTGACACCGATCCTGGCATTGGTCAGCCTTTCTTGTACTAATTACTAACTCATGAGTTTCAGGATTTCCTTGCTTTTGTGTTTCGTTGTCTGAGTATAATACTAATATCAGTTTCAGATTGAGCCCAGCTCAATTAGTCTTGGAAAGTTGATTCGATTTACTGCAACTTTTTGATTTATAATGCGGTATCTTCCTCTGAGTTTGTGCGTTTCTTTCATTTTTGGTGGCTACAGTGGGCCTGGTTCTGGAATATAGTATTATGACAGCAAAGTTTGATCGAAAAAGTTACGTACTTTTGAATCAGGGAAAATGCTATGGCTTTCTATATTCTTGTGGTTCTATCATCTATGTCTGTTATTCCATCCTTCGGCGTGCTATTTCTAATTTTTGGCATTTTCTTTTCCAAATTCTACCTCAACGGGAGAAAAGTTCCCTTTGTAGTGAAAAAACATATGGACTAAAATCTATATATTTTGTCTTGCCTTTTATACCTCCTCCAATCGCACATAGATATATTATATAAACATCGTGTATTTTGTAAAGTGGGAGAGAAATTTTTTTTTAAAAAAAATGGGAAGTAAATTTTGATATTGGAAATCTAAAGAAAAATTTAGTCTTTGAGTGCATTTTCTTCTGTACTCCAATCTTTCGTAATAGTGGAATTGAAATAAGCATTACTGATGATAATATATTCGTCTTTTGCTCAAGTTACAATATTCCTGGTTTCTTCTTCTTCTTCTTTTTTTTTTTTTTTTTGGTGTTTTAGTGGGGGGGGGGGGGGGAGGGATTGGGGGCTTGGGGGTAATTAGAGGTTTCGAGATTCTTTTTAAAGACTGTTGATCCTTATTCATGTACTTATTTTGGAATTATTAGATGGACTTATGTTAGGTTCAACGGACAATCCAGCAAAATATATTATCAATGAGATTTAGGTGATTAGTTTTACACAGTTAGATCACGTTTTGTTTAGCTTGTGCAAACACGTAAATAAGCCCCTATATTCCCACATCTCTGGCTGTTCTGATCTTTCGAACTTGAGATTGAAGTGTGAGTTTTGCTGATGTGCAGATGATAGCATGGCTATATTAATGGCATTCCAATCACCTGACTTGGATATATTAGGATTGACAACAATATATGGTAATGTAACTACTGAAGGTGCTACTCGCAATGCATTGCTTTTGGTATGTTATATCTGTACTTTAGTTCCTCTTCTGCATGGTTATTTATGCTCCCAAAATTTGCAATCTTTCCTGTTTTTGGATTGTGTACATGATCAAGTTCTGTTTTTAATGTGCAAAAGGATAGTGTGAGATTGCAGGATATCCAGGTGTGCCTGTAGCAGAGGGTAGCCCTGGACCTCTCAAGGTAACCACTTTGTGTCATTTGGGTCAATTAACTGTTTGGTTTTTTTCTTGTGAGCATAGTCAGTGATCTATAGTTGATTATGATAACTCAAAAATTATTGACGGCTACTTGGCTAATAGAATAACATTCGCTGTCAACTAGAAAAAAATTATTCAGTGTTAAGTATGCTTGTTCAGTTTTCAGCTTGAGTGGTGTATTTGATACATCCTGCTTATGCTCTTTCCTTTAGGGGGGGGAACCATGCATCGCAGACTTTGTTCATGGTTCAGATGGACTTGGCAACATATTTTTACCTCCTCCAAAATCTAAGAAGATTGAGAAAAGTGCATCTGAATTTTTGGTTGATAAAGTATCTGAATACCCTGGCGAAGTATCTATACTTGCATTGGCAGTCTTTCAATTTCCAGTCAGTCAAATAATGTGTTCAAGCTTTTGACTGGCAGATTTATTGTGATCCTGAAGCAGCAGATGTTGTGTTTACTTCTGGGGCAAATGTTGATGTTGTTGGCATAAATATCACAACACAAGTCAAAATGACAGGTTTTTCTTCCCTTTCTATTTACCACTTGCCTATTTTCCCACCGGAATCTTTTCATTGGAAGTTACTCTCTCATAATTGTTGTCTTGTGAACTTCAGATGCTGCCTTTGATGAACTAAGACAATCTCATGGAAAACATGCTCAATTTGTGTGTGACATTTGCAAATTCTACCGTGACTGGCATGTCAAATCTGACGGTGTCTATGGTAATTTGGCTGCTTGCAACGCTAGTTTCAATTTGTCATTGACCTGCCTTATTTTCAAATTCTTTTTAGATCTTCTCTTTTTGATGGTTCACATATTAATGGTTAATACCGGCCTGCGCAGGAATTTTTCTTCACGACCCTGTCAGTTTTGTAGCTCTAGTCCGGCCTGATCTCTTCACATACAAGAAGGGGGTTGTGAGGGTTGAGACACAGGGTATCAGCGCGGGGCATACCCTGATGGACCAAGGGCTGAAAAAGTAAGCTTTACCTTGCTTGCTTTGCACTTCTCAGGTGCTTTTTTTTTTTTTTTTGGGTCGTAGGTTCTTGTTTAATTAACTTCAATACTCTGATACAGATGGAATTCAAGCAACCCATGGACAGGCCATTCACCTATTTCTGTAGCATGGACTGTTGATGCGGATGAAGTGCTAAACTATGTCATGAAAAGCTTGATGAAACCTTGACCATAAACATTGCCTTTGGACCGGTCATGAAACTCCATTATGGATGGTTAATCGCTGCCTCTCTCTGCGGCAATTGGGTACTTCTCTGTTGAAGATAGGGCAATGGTGGACTTATGCTGCTCATTATCTTTGATTTATTTACACCTGATACATGTTCATTTGATGACGTAATAAAGGATAATTTATCCGGAATATGTTAACTTAAAATACTATGCAATTGCGGATTGGTGGCACTTGAAATGGATGGTTTTTTTTTAATTTTTTTTTCCCATTCCTGTTGAGATGTACTACTTGTGGCATAATTAAGTTACTAGGGAGGAGGATTAAATTTAACATGTGTGCAAAATTCAAGAAATTTTGGAGGATGAGAAATTAAAATACTTTGAAAGTAAAAGGAAAATGGGAAACCAGACTTAATGGTCTATAATCATTCACATTGGTATGCGACAACACCAAAAATGGGGCTAGATAGGGGGTTATTGGAAAAAAGTATCTAGAGTAATACTATAGCAATTTATGTGACGCGTGTGGGGTATAAATATGATTAAAAAATATATTTATGATGGATTCAACGGAGTTGTGTAAAGTGTGCTTCGAGTTAAATACCAACTTAGTATATATGCATTAGAGTTAGGGTGCATTTGGTAAAATTAAAATTTAAAATTTAAAAATTGAGTTTATTAAGTTATTAATTTGATAAATACTAAATTCGATACATTTCAATGTATATCATTAGCGAAGAGTTTATTACTTATATTTTGATACAAGTTTTATTTAGAATATTCAGTGTGATCTAATTAATTTAAATATTTTAATTTTTTTAGTTCAATGTAACATATTAAGATTTAAATTCATTAAATTTAAGTACTAAATTGAATTATTAAATACGAAGCGAGATTTTGGAATATCCGTTGGTATGTCAAAATCCGAATATGAATTCTGAAGTTAAACCAGCGGTCTCTCACAAGATAGATTTGAGTGTGACAATTTGGCAAATGACAATATTGGATTAATCAAAGAATTCCTGCTCAGCATCCAGCAGTCGTTCTGCAGTCGCATCTTCATCATCATCAAGCCAAAGGTTCGCCATCACAGAAAAAAGCTGTGAATTGAAAAGTCAACCATATAATGCGGCTCCGTTGTTGTTACTACTATAAAATAACCTTCTTTAATTACCAAACATAAAAAAAAAAAAAAAAAATGCTCCAATGTTTGGAGTGTGATAAAACACCTTTGTCTGTGTCAAATGTGACATTAGCGTATTATTAGCGGCATAATAATACTGCGCGATTTAGGTATTCCGTTGCCAGAGCAGTACTTAAATACTCTATTAGACTTGATGACCAATTCTTGGCGTTTAAAGGAGGACGAGCATTGTCCCCCACACCTCAATTCTGATTCATAAACGTCAAATTCAGGACTCCCCCCCCAAAACCCCCCTCCAACCAAAGAAAAACCCAATCACCTGCTCACTGCTTTTGTTGGGTGAAACTGAAAATTGATTATTGACCTGCGAATGACCAAATACTACTCCCATCTCACTATACTAACTAAGCTGGCATGCTACCAAAACGCATCGTTAAAGGACTCTTATCTCTCTCTCTCTCTCTCTCTCTCTCTCTCTCTCACACACACACACACACACACCCCTCTATTCTCTACTAATGAGTATATTATGACTTGACTCCTCCAATTTTCTAACTTGTAATTCCAGCAACAAAAAGTTGAAATTAGGGGCAACATTTCCTTCACTCTTTTGGCATCCAATCCTGATCAGTCCTCCTTCTCATAATTATCAAGAAACCGGTTTTGCAAGTCATGCACCCGTGTGGTTCTTCCTCCATAAAAAAAAAAAAAAAAAGCAAATTTTATATACACTGTCAGTGTATATACTATCATGGTTGGATGGATGACACTTGAATAAATTTTAAATTTCAAATTCAAATTTTGCGCATGTGTCATATATCTAATGGTGATAGTGTATTTAAGATTAATCCAACAAAAAAAAAATGTTTTACGTTCCTTAATTACATAAGTATTTGACAGTTTTAATAGTATTTCCTGTGCGCACACAAAGAATCTGATATAAACAGTTTACTGATATCTGTAAACACAGAAGGTATGGCTAATTGTTGCAGGTAATGCGTTGAATGGCTCTTCATCCTTCTTTACAACTCCATCGAAATATGCCCACAATTGACATTCAAAGCAAATGGGTTATAGCCTTATAGTATAGGAGTAAAGATTGGGGCATATACTACTGCTCCATATGTAGTACCAGCCACGGAAACAAACCTAAAAAAAGGTTGGTTGAGACTTGAGACTTGAGAGCAAGTAAAAAATGTTGAATGATTGCTTTATCAGCTATGATCAAGAGATATCTCAAGTCTTCACTACCATTTAATAAAGCAGTTAAACCAACTTTCCCTCCCTCATTTTATATGTTCCAATATTTCTTCACTTGAGACAGTTACCTACCACCCCCCAAGAAACGAACCCGTCTCAATCCTCTCCCTCCAGCAGGAACACTGCTGCTTAACCACTCCAATGACCTGCACTTGTACTCCAAAACGACCACCATGTCAAATCAAACATCATCATCTCTTTAGCTTACTTCGCAACAACAACATTAACTCCTCCTAATCCTCAATACTAAGAGTCCTGCAAATACTCTCCTCCACTCGAGACAATTTTTCGGTACATGTGCATGCACATACTTGCTATAGAGAGAGAGAGAGAGGGAACAATCGTCGCTGCGAATTCGAGGAAGAGTTGAATTTAAAGCATAACATGTCAGGCCGCATCCATCCATCGACAGCTCTAGCAGAGACTGTGTCCTGGTACTGTGCCTTGTTCCTGGCTTTAATGTTGGTGTTAAGCTGCTGTGAATCAACTGAGGAGCAGTTTGAAGTGCAACAGCAGAAGCAGCAAATATTATCCTCATTACTACTTGAACAGCCGTGTGATGAGATTTATGTGGTACGCGAAGGAGAGACTCTGCATACCATCAGTGAAAAATGTGGGGATCCTTACATCGTTGAGCAGAATCCCCATATTCATGATCCAGATGATGTTTTCCCTGGGTTAGTCATCAAGATCACCCCTTTCACAAATATGTAGATGTTTCTCCTTTTAATTTATTCTTAAGCTCGTATGCTTGTTGCTCTTCTGTTTTGTTGAACCGGATGTCGAGGTTCAATGCCGATAGCCCCATGGCCCTCCCTCCTCTGTTTTTCTTTTTCAGGCAATACATTATTTTGATTGTGCGTGAACCACGGCCTGTGGCAGCTTGTCTTGCTAGTTTCTATGATGAAATATGCAATTGGATGTTACTATTTCATCATTTTCAACTTTCTGCTTCTTTCTCGCGGGAAGCCATAATTTCTCGGGAATAGGTTCAAACTTGTACTGTGTTTTACGGTATTGTCCATCAAGCTTTTGCAGTAAAACGAAGGATCAATAGACATAGTGAGACAGAGTAACGAGCTCTTCTTTCACCTACTTACACTATAAAAGAAGGGGGGGGGGGGGAATGGAGTGACAGACTCAGATTGATTTCAACTGTTATATGCACTTGTTTTTAAACTGGTTTTTTTCTTCCCCTTGTTGCAATATTTATTTTAAGTTAAACGCTCCTTTGTTGGAACATAAGGGAAATCGTAGTCAAGAACAAATTTAGTTTATCATGAAAATTCCTGCTTCTCAGGGTAAAACAAAAACAAGAAAGCTAATGTGGGAGAAAAAAAAAAAATTTTTTCCGCTCGAATACAAAGTATGGAGCCATTATAAGTAACAACTGGCTTGAGTTCATTAATATTGTCAACAAAATGGCTACGAAAAATGAGTACGAACTTCGTCCAACAACAACATTTAAGAAGGGAAAACTATATAAATGTTTCGATGAATTATACGCGCATCAATTAATAAGCGGAAGGTCAAGCTTATATGCCGCACAATTAGGTGACGTCTACTTGTATTCTTAACAATCTAGTATTACTTGTCAACATGGTAAGTTGTTTCTTCTACAATCCACACCCAATCTGCTTAAAAGGTAGGATGAGGGTTTGAAAATCGAACTCAAAGTTAGGTGCCGCGAGCCCAGACCATCTCTCGCTCTCTCTGTTGGGCCCAATGTGTCCAAAGTGGCAAAATATTCGCCAGTGATGGAGTGGGCCTAAAACTAAGAACTGGGCATACACTACCTTCTTTAAAGCCCTAACAAATAAGCCTCTGCATCTTTGCCCCTGCTTCTCAGCTTACAATTCGCAGTTGGGATCATTTAGAATTTCATTAGTACGCCGGTATGTGCTTCCAGACGAGCGCCTTTTAACGCATAAAATTTCTCACATGCATGCAAAGACTTAACATTTGTTGTTCTTCTTGAATTTATCACCCAAAATAAAAAAATACTTTTAAATAATTTCTTATTCTTTCTTATGCACAATTAAGATGGATATATTTTTTTTTCTTTTTTTATGTCGTCAGTAGCATAAAATTGGTTCTGCCATGATGGGATGGGCATGTACTACCCATTTACGCGTGCACGCGCGCGCGCACAAAGGTACGAATTTGGAACGAGTAATAGGGAGAAGAGTCAATTATTATGAAACAAATTTAGCCTCGTCTGATAAGCGAGCTTTTTAGATATTTGTCTAAAATTTTACTGTAACTTAATGTAGAAGTTGTAGAAAATTTTTTTGGATATTTTGAAGTGTAAAGTTTAAAATTTTTGAGAAATTTTTTGAGATTACTGTAATTATAATTGTTAAAAAATTTATAACAGACAAACTGAGCCAAAACCTTTTTTTAGCAAACAAGGCCTTAAAGAAACAACCACGTGTTTTTACATACGACTGTCTTCACACCAAAATATAGCAGATTTACTTAAAACCGTACAAGTGGTTATGTGTTGAAGCTTGCCAATAAAAACAGGAGATTTAAACTTTCGAAGGGTGCCATTTCAGGCTTTTGGATTAGAGGCCTCCTCCATCGTTTCGCTGTAAATTACCAGAAATACGTTCGGAATTGATTATTAGTAACACTTTCTGAAATATTATTATTGAAGGAAGTGTTGTTTCTCCAGGCAGCTCGCCCCCTGCATTTGACTCGGATTGGAGACCTGTCTTACTTAATTGTTTAATTGCATTGGGCCACTGAATCTTCTCCATTTTTCTTCCCTCTTAGGTCATGTTTGATAATCCCATTTAGCAATTAAATTTAATGGGTCCATGAATTCATATCTTAATAGGTTGTTTAGA